ACATTGAGTCCTCATTATTTGTTATCAACACATTAATACCTATCAAATAGAAATTACACACAAGCAAGTCTAAAAGTTGAGCTGCTTGTGTACCAAATCTATCAGTATACAGGCCTATCTTGTGGCTGCACCTTTGGGATTAAATCGCAATGCATAGTTAGCATTTTTTTTCTTCCCATTCAGTTTTATTGAAAATAGATTGAAACAAAGATACAGCATAGTCTTAATAAACATATATATAACATAGTATCTTAATACTGTGACTTTACGTCATTGTAAATTTGTGACATGCATCTTATTTGCCTGTTCCTGTTTTATTGATACAAACGAATCAATAAAATTCATTAATTGACTGATGATCGACTGCTGACAGTTTTAATTTCATTTGTTATTTATATTCGACGTAGGAAGTGCAGAGTTCAGCTAACTGATGAATTAAAATATCCTTCTCAGCAGCTTTTTGAAGGACTTTTACAAGAATTTCACAAAACTGAAAGTAACTAGTGAATATTGACCATATGTAGCTTTTATCATATGAACACGAATAAATAAATGTATATCAGCAGCACGTACATTATTAAAGATGATTAAAGAACATTTTATTAGAGGAACGCTGTTGAGAGTTATCACTTTAGACCCACACTTTTTCATCGTTTGGGATTTTCCTACTTGTTCAACTCTTTGTTTCGTCCTCCAGATTTATATTTAGTCTTTCTAATGATTTAGTCCATATTTGGTAACAAAGCTGCAACAAAGCTTGCTGGAACAAACTTATAATCAAATAAGTTTTGTTAAAGTTAAATCATTATGTTATGCAATATTTAGATTTTCTTCCACTTACATGGTTTGTCCTTATACAAATATTTTTTATCTGTAAGAGCACTGTTGGATAGACCCTGAGATTTCAATTTTATTGTCAACAACGGCTAAACTGTAAATGTTATGCAATAAAGAACTTGAACTATTGCACCAGTGGACAAGAACTTTCGTGGACAAATGCTTTTAATTTCTACTTGTGCACAAGAAAAATGTTGAAATGTAAAATCTGTATACAAGATAACTGACATTTATTCTCTCAAGGACATAAACCTCATTTTCTTTAGTGACAAACTATACATGGGTTTAATGAACATTATAGCCTCCAGGGGCTGCTAGCGAGGGTTTAGACTTTGGGTCTTGAAAAATGACTGTTTTGATTATTAGTGCGCTCGCTTGCAGAGTGAGAAGCTGTGTTTTTTAAGAATAGATATGTGAACTGTTCTCCATCCCACAGTTTTCAGACTCACAAACATACATCAAAATGTTGCCACAAGCTTCCTTTCTCTCAAAATGTAAAAATTTGACTCCAGAAATACAGCTTTATCTTAATTGATAAATGTGGAGAGCACTGTCTGACTGCCATTCATTGCCATAGAAACTGAAGGCTGAAACCTCCTCTTTTCCTCTTTTGACTTAATATTTCTCCCTGCATTCAATGTAATAACACTGTTTAAAAATGTATATACCACCTTGTATACTTCCGCCATGCTTCCCAGTGTACAAATATAAGTAATAGATTTTCCAGCTTACGTTTGTCTAATTAGACTTGTACAAAACAGGTTTCTTGGTTGATGATATTGTAGTTCATCTGCTAGCTGCCACTTCAAGGCACAGATTCCTGAAGCTCTGGGGTTCAAACCACGGCTTAGCTATAAAGCATGATGGTTGACAAAGATTGTATGACCACTGCCCCTTCCTAAGGGATTGACCTCACAATATGAGCTGGTTAATTAGGGATTTGTAGGCTTCTTTGATATTCTTTTAAAGCTCCAGTGTGTAACATTTAAGATGATCTATTGGCAGAAGTGGAATATAATATTTGATGTACGTTTTTTTATTAATCCTAAAGAAATAAAGAATTGTTGTGTTTTTATGTTTTCGCTGCGGGTTGCCTACCAGGTTGAACCACAATTTTTCTACAGTAGCCCAGAAGGATAAACTAAACAGACGTCTTTTGTAGCCACCTTCGTTCCTCCCCCGCTTTTGAAAGGGGGGTGGAGGTTAGAGGAAGATGCGATATGCAGTTATACCACTCGATGCGACGATCCTTTTAAGGCCTCCGCACACCAACCCGATTATCGGCCGTCGGACGCCGTCGGACAGTCGGGCGAGGT